TATTCACCACGAAGGATTGGCCCCGCCAACCATTCACTCTCTCTCCACTTCTTCCCCTCTCCTTTTCCACCCAACCTACCAATACTTCCTAACATTCTATCCAGCTTAAACTCCAACTTCATTCCTGTAGTACCAAGGTGACCCAGATCATCTAACAATCCCCAAGCCATTTTGCCCCATCTATTCGCTTCATGGCTATTGCCTTTTTGCAGCCATAGCATGGCCAACATGGCATACCTACATCGCTGCGCTTAGCCCAAGATTCATGAATCGTTCAGTGGCTGGCACAACTTACTCATCTGTCAACATGCTTTCCAAGCCTTCATCCGTAATCAACCCCACCGTCTCTTCCGCCAGTCTGATCGCTTCGTCTACTCGACCTGTGGCGGCGCATTCGAGAATTTTTGCTTCAGATTGGCCAATGAGTATACGGCGTATGTCCGACGCGCGCTTTGTCAGGGGCGATGAATCGCATAATGCGCAGTGACATGTGAAGCCCCATGGTTGCAGTAAAGTCTTGCGATCATGAGACGAAAGACCGACAGGCAGGTCTAGACATGATCAGTCAACTGAGATAGCAAGGGAAGAAATCAGGTACATGATATAGTGATTTCTTCGCCGATCTTGATGGCGCAAGAAGCTCTTATCGCCATGGTAAGACCCGAGGTCGGGCAGAAAAGGACGTATGCGTTTGGCCTGCACGCGTGATTGATTCTCTATTTCATTAGAATGAAACTTCTCATATGGCCGAGATGATCCTACTGAGGCGAGCGGAAACAGCGCTTTTGTTCCAACGCCTGCGATAGTCTTTCCAAATCCATTGGTCTTCATGACACGCTGCTCCAGTGGACCATCGCCTTCGCTAGCACCTAGGGCGCGAATGGTGTTTGGGAGCTGCAGTCTATCGATAGCTACTCTGAGTAGACGACTGCTCCACACCTCCGAGACGTCAACGTCCATGACAACAGCGGCATGATCCACCATAATAGTCTCGTACTTTCCCATATTCCGTGTTGCGATCACGCCTTTGTCTTTGCTGGGTATGTCGACAACTTGCCAGGCTCTCGGTTGTTCGGCCTGATCTTGCCAAGTATTCGAGGCCAGTTCAACAGCCTTTGCCACCTTTTCCGCATCCTCAGGCGAGAAGATCATACTAAGACTGTGCGTCTTGGTGATATTGGATGTGTAGACACAAAACTCTCGGCCATGGCTTGTGCAGTATGGTTCTCGGGACCATGTGGCATGGGATTGACTGAACAAATAATCACGAAAATCTGCAGGAACGACTTTGGCGAGGTTGAGCACACCGATTGTGGCAGATACGTACAGGGCGAGGAACGAAGCGCAGGACACGGCGGTAATGTTTGGCCGATACATGACTCCAGCCTGAAAGCTCAAGTCGAACAAGGACCGCGAATTTCGAGTTTCTGACATGCTGGCGTTCTGATGTACACTGTACGCATGCTTCCGAACACGGTACTGCATTTCATCGCGTTTACCCGGGTATTACACCCCTACCTTAGAACCGTAAACCAAGACCTTGGTACCTTGCATGCAACGTTGGCGTACTGGGTCCATCCAATGATACTTGTTAGATGTAGCAACGTCACTTTACTCGGGCTTGTCGCCTGGAGGTATAGATGCAAGAGATGGGAATCATACCATACGTCTTGGTCAGTCAAGCCACTAAAAGCCGCTAGAGCTGTCTTGTGCTTGCTTGAAATTGTCATTGAGATTGACAGGCGCATCTTCATTGAACATGGCCCCGCGAAGAAAGACAGATGACACGAGAAATTTGACTGTGGCCAAGAAGAGATTGGCGATGTCGACGTAGATTGCGAAGAAAACGAGAGGAGAAGGCTGAGAGATTCATGTGAGAAATTGAGTTTCATTCATTCCATACTGCCTTGCGAACAGTTTCATTCCTCCTTAAGCGTCAGGCAACTTCTAACCTAACACACGATCAGCCCACCATTCAGATCACAACTTCGCCCCAGCATTCTCACCTGTCCAAGCAATACACTCAATCTCCACGGGCACACCCTTGGGCAGCTGCTTAACAGCGACACAGCTGCGCGCCGGCTTGTGCGTAAAGTACTGCATATAGACATCGTTCATCTCAGCAAAATTGGCCATGTCATCGAGGAAGACGTTGATCTTGGGGCGTGTTAGCATTCGTTCACAAGTTCTGAAGATGGTTGTGCAGGAGAGAAAGTTGGACGTCGTACCTTGACAATCCTCTCCAGTCCCACATTCACCTCGGCCAAAATAGCCTTGATGTTCTCGCAGCATTGCTTCGTTTTGTCCGCGATGCTGCCTTCTACCAGGGCACCCGTCTTGTCGGCGGGAATCTGACCCGAGACGAAGATCTGGGGCCCGGCAATTATAGCTTGGGACTGAGAAGGGCGTTAGCACCTCTTTTCTCGAAATATGCATGCACCATGTTTTGGATACAGGCATGCGAGTGCCGAGTTGTAGTTGGCGGGGTTCAGGTATTTGAGAAGCGGAGGAGAATAATGAAGCTCAATGAAGCGTATGGGGTGGTGCAATCAAACATACGTATGGTGGAAGAGCTGCAAACCGCATCGTCAGCACTTGACTCTCACTTGCTCATCTGCACGGAAAACTCACGAGGACACGCATTCTCGGTGAAGACCTTCTTGATGTCTGACATATTTCGTATTTGACGAGTACTCTTTATTTTCGAAATGGTGGTTATAGAGGATGGTCGTGCAACTGAGGTGCAGAGTCTTCGCAAAGCTATTCGTTGCATGGGAGTTGTTGACTTGTTGTAGTAAACGGGCCCAGGCGATGGCGCCGAAGCACGGAGGGGCAGCTCCGAGGGGCAGCTCCAACTCCCCCACTTGCCCGTCGGAGGGCGCAGCTTGCGTCTTTGGTGGGGTAGGCGAACCCTCACCTGATTTCAAGACGCGGCACCAGTACAGCAGCGAAGTGTGGCAGGCAAAACAGGATGGGAGTCGACGGGTATTTTCAGTGTTTTATCTAGATTTACTACACTCCCATTGGAATGCTCGCTTTGAAAATGCGCAGTCTGGCTCTCGCCTGCGTGCTTCGCGAGGGAAGAATAAAAGCTCGTCCACCAACGCCATGCCCATGCAAAATCATTTCTCCATCTATCAGAGAAGGGGAAGCCAACGTCTTCCTGTACACATTTCTCTACTTCTCGCTCTCCATCTTCTCCTCCTGACTCGCTAGGAGCGTGTATACGGGCGCATCGAGCTTGTCGCGGCCCTTGAGGAAGTCGAGCTCGAGGATGAATACGTAGCCCATTATTGAGCCGCCGAGCTTCTTCACGAGGGAGCCGGCTGCAGATGCTGAGCCACCTGTCGCACTTGATCAGCAGGATGCTCTCTATACCGTGCACTCGTGTGCAGGGACCAAAACATACCAGTAGCGATGATATCATCGACAATCAACACCTTTTGTCCACTCTTCACAACGCCCTCCTGCATCTGGAAGAAATCGCTACCATACTCCTTCATGTACTCGGCCGTCTCGCACGGCCCCGGGAGCTTTCCCCTCTTGCGCACCGGCACAAACGCCGCGCCCAGTCTCAGCGCAAGACTTGGGCCGAACAAGAATCCGCGCGCATCGAGGCCAACAACGACATCGGGCTTGCCGCTGAATTCCTTGGTCACGGCGAGCTCGAGCGACCGGATGAGCCCCTCGTGGAGCGTGGGGTTGGCAAAGATGGGCAGTATGTCTTCAAACAAAATGCCTGGTTCAGGAAAGTCTGGGAATTGCTTCAGCGACTTTTTCAAGTCTATCTTAAGACGGGCGAGTTCGGCGGCGGGGGAGGCATGGGGGGCGGCGAGTCCTCCTTTGGCGGCATTGCTGTTAGACTCGAGGGTCGGATCGGGTTTGCCCTGCGGGGGGTGGGCAGCAGTTGCGTCGCCCTTGAGCGGTGTATTGGCCGTAGTCGTAGTGTTTAGCGGGTGGGCAGAGTGCGTGGGAGTGTCGGAGGGGGCGGACATTATGAAGGGAAAAGAAGAGAGTCAGAGGGCGAGAGAGGGGAGAGTGTATGGCGGGACAGGGCTGCAAGGTGTGGTAGGGCTTGACCTGTGCGTCTTGCTGTTGTCGCAAGAAAAATAATTTTTAGTGTTAGGAGGGCGGTTCCGTAGATCCACCAGCGAATTGCGACGCCGACTAGGATACCGTGGCGCCGCCTGCGCTGACCGCCCACGTCAAACCCAGCGAACTTGACGGCTGCCTATCCTTCGTACACCATCACGGTTCCCGAAGCGGCAGCTCTGGCGTATCATGCATGCCACCCCTGGCCCACAAGTGCTGGTGGCTTGTAACCGTCTAGTGACATGTTCGATGCATGCCCATCGAAGCCGATAAGCCCACCTACCACCCGTCAGGGCTGGCACAGTGTAACAAGAAGATGGAGAGGTATGACTCCTTGGTCCCAACAAGTTTCTAGTCGCCAGCATGTTGGCTTTGGCATGTGCAGACACGCAAGGTCCGCACCCACAGATTGGCTCACTCTATACCGATAGACAGATCGTAGCACGCCATAGTTTTGGCTGATATAACCATGGAAGCTGAGCACTTGCGCTAGAAGCATTGCGTGGCGCGCCCGGCTTCCGTGGCGTTACTGGCGTGCTTACTGTGGGGAAGCATTCGACGCGTATAGTCGAGACACGTTGCCGCTGGTGCCGAGTCTCACATGTTTGCTGCTGTCTGATGTGTGTGGACAAGGACGACAGTGAGGCTCTGTTGGGATGGATGGTCCATCTCCCGAGGACGAAATTGTTCTAGACTGACGTGGGCCTACCCTATAAATTGGAGAAAAGGTGGGTTTGCGCTGCGTCCGCTCCCCATGTTCACTCCACACAGCCCGCCCAGACATTTATACACCCAGCTCAGCGCCTATGTAGCAGGGCTACAGAGCCCCTAGATGCAAGTTGCTACCGCACTGTAATTCCAGCATGTAAAGAATATTGAACCAGCGGCTCAGGGTTGCCTGTCCATGAACCCACCGATGGCTGTCATCAGGCCGGGATCACGTCGCTCAACGGAACTATCTCGAGACGTTCATGCACCATGTCTTACATCACCCCCACACGGCCATGTTCTGGACAACGCAATCCTCATCCACCCTCTTGACAAGCTTTCCTACGGTGAATACTTGCTCGCCCCACTCCTGCAGGATTTCCGTCGCAGCCTGTACATTGTGGTGGTCGACGACAAGCACCATGCCCAAACCAGTGTTGAAAGTTCTGGCAAACTCGGTATCCTCAAGTCGGCCTGCCGACTTCAACCACGACAGCACCGGTGGCACAGGCCATGTCTTTGCATCGAGCTCTGCTGCGAGAGTCTTTGGCAGCATGCGAGGAATATTCTCGACAAGTCCACCGCCAGTGATGTGTGACATGCCTTTGATCAGTCCTCGTCGAGTTGCGGCTAGGAGCGGCTTGACATAAATCTTGGTGGGCGTGAGCAGAGCAGTGCCGATGGTGTGGCCTTCGCTCCAGGGTGCTGCGTCGTGGAAAGACATACCCGTTCGCTCGATGATCTTGCGGACGAGGGAGAAGCCGTTCGAATGGACACCGCTCGATGCTAGACCTAGCAGCACGTCACCTTCCACCATGGATGCTGTGTCCGGGAGTATGGGCACGCCTCTCTTGATTGCGCCAATAGCTGCACCGCCGGCATCGTACTCGCCCCGCTGGTAGATGCCAGGCATCTCTGCTGTCTCGCCGCCAACGAGCGCCGCTCCCGATTGTCGACAGCCGTTGGCTACCCCCTCGACAAACTTGGCGGCACTTTCCACATCCAACTTGCTGCACGCATAGTAGTCCAAAAACATGAGAGGCTCCGCGCCCTGCACAACCAGATCGTTGACGTTCATGGCAACAAGATCGATGCCGACAGTGTCGTGCTTGCCCATCTCAAACGCGATCTTGACTTTGGTTCCAATGCCGTCAATGGCTCCGACGAGGATGGGTGCCTCGGTGTAGCCAGCTGCCTGCAGGTCTAGGAGTCCGCCAAAGCCGCCAATCTCGCCATCTGCGCCTGGTCTCCGTGTGCTCTTGGTGGAAGCTTTGATGCGCTTGACGAGCTCGTTGCCGGCATCGATGCTGACTCCAGACGCGGCATAAGTAAGGGCCTCGCCCGTCTCGAGCTTGTCGCCCGCGGGTCGAGACACAGTGGTGCCTTCCTCGGCCGGCTCGAGGAGCTTCCAGTCGCACGTTATGCCCTCGTTGCCGAACTGCTCCAGCAGGTGGTTTGCGATGGAATCAAAGTTGTCTGTGGCCAGTGCCAGGATGGTCGGCCCGGCGCCGGACAAGCAGATGCCCAACAGGCCGGGGTGTGACTGTGGGGTGACGGACTGCAGGATCTCGGTGAGGCCGGGGATGAGGCCACGACGGTACGGCTGGTGCAGCTTGTCCTGCATGGCCGTGTAGATCATGTCGGGGTCCGGGGTGGGCTGCCCGAGCGCAGTGGTGAGGACGGCCAGGCGCTGCATGTTGAAGATGGCATCCTTCCGCGAGTACGACTCTGGCAGCACGGCGCGCGCCTTTGCGGTGGAGACCTCGAACTGCGGGATGATGCAGATGCACTTGATGGCGGGCGACCACTGGAACTTGGTGTAGTGTCCGATGTTGAGCGGAGGCTCTGGCGGCTGCAGACCCGTGTCGACGCCGCCGGCTGGCTGGGGCAGGACCTCGCTGAGCGGGATCTCGAGGCGCTCCGTGTCTTCTGGCGAGAGCTCGTTGAGGTAGGTGCCCACGAAGCCGCCGTAGAGGGCAGCGGCGACGTTGTCCGGGTGTCGCTCCTCCATCAAGCAGTAGTCCAGCATGCGCGCCTTGGACAGGTGCAGGCGCCCGACCTCGTTGGCCAGGAAGACGCCGCCCACGATGGCGGCCGCAGAGGAGCCCAGCCCGCGTCCCAGCGGTATGGGGTTCTTGACGTGCACATGTGTCTCGGCGGGGAAGGCGCGGATGCCATGGCAGCGCAGGACGTATACGGCGGTTCGCGTGATGAGGTTGTCTGCGGCCACGAGCGGCACGTCTTCTGCGCCCACGCCCTCGTACGTGACCCTGCAGTTGAGTGAATGTTCCGAGCTCGCCTTGCGCGTCACCGTCACGCCGAGCTCGAGGTAGAGGTTCAGCGCAAGGCCGATGACGTCAAAGCCAGGCCCGATGTTGGCCGACGAGCACGGCACCTTGATGAGGGTAGTCATGGTGTGGATGAGCGCCTCCGCGACGATGCGCTCGCGTTGAGTCTTCCAAAGGTGGTGCGCAAAGAAAATGTCGCGCGCGGCATGCGGCTTGAGAAATTTGGTCGGCGCAAGGAGGGGCAGGAATTCCGCGCCGACCCCGGCCATGCACTCCGCCACTTCCATTCCACACACCCACCTCACCTACACCCGCGAACCGCCTTCACCATGCCTCACTACTCACTCACTCACTCACTCACCACGATCATCTCCCCTTGCTCCACCATTGCCCATTGCCCATTGCCCATTGCCCATTGCCGTGAACACTCACCCTGCCAGTGCCCATGATGCACCGAGGCCAGCCAAATCATAGCACGACTAGCATAGTACAAGGCACCAGCCTCGTGAGGTGAGTGACACAGGCAAACGAGACCGCCCTTCATGCGCCTCTCCGCACCGCCTCAACGCCCATTCGCTTGCCGTGCGCCTTGTCTTGCCAGCGCAGCACGTCCGGTCAGCACATGCAAACTGAGCCCAGGCACCTGCAATCTCTCTCACCACAGCTCCGCTGTGACCAGGCAGCCGGCCAGCCTTGTGTACTTATAACCCGTGCTGAAAATCGATCCAGCCTGCTTCCTTTGCTGCCCCCTCTCTCTCATCTTCCCCTTCACGCTGCATTCAGCCACTACTAATACCATGCATGGCCTTTCATCCAGCACATCACAGCTTCGTGGCAGGATGGCCCACCGCGGTCGCCGTGGCAGGACACACTGGTCACCGCCCGCAGACGGTGATACAACATCTTCAGAATCCGATGCCGCAAAAGACGCAGTCGATGGCCTCAGCAATGGTGTCAAGCACGTGACAGTCAACACCAAAGAAGACGTCAATGGTGCCACCTCAGACACCAGGGCTGGCGCAGACGAAGACGGAGGCCAGTACAAGCCTGGCATGAAGAGCGGCCTCAAAGAGCTGTACTCGGGCAAAGAAGACAAGAAGGGCCGCTACCAATGGCAAGACAAGATCCCCGAGGACATTGGCAAGGCAGTAGAGAACGGACGAAACCGCCAAGTGGGCTCTTCTGGTGCGGAACATCAATAGTCTACAATGATCCTCGACGCGTGCTGTCGATACATTCCATTGTGGTGCAGAGCCCGCTTCTGAAGAAGCTTTTGGTCACAGTCCTCAAGAATTACCCTGGTGTTACTGTCGGGTTGAATCGACTCGAATTCTCAGGAAAATTTGAGCCGCTAATCCACCGCTGGTCCGAGTTGCAACAGGCTATTGCAAGTCTGGGCGACGACACAGAGGACAAGCGGACCACCAAGGAGCATGCCGCTTTGCTTCAACATGTGCTCATCAAGGAGTTCAAGACCATGATCGACACTTCGCAAGATATGAAAAGCAAGCGCGTCATGACCTATGAGCACCTGTGGACCCTCTTCCAGCCAGGCGCTACTGTATTCTCCCGCCAAGATGGTCAAGAGACTGCCATGACACTTGTCAAGACCATGTACGGCCAAGATGCCAATGGCCTGCCTTGCTTCTGGCTCACATGTAAATACGTCGACTGGGACGGTGCCAAATGGGGTACTCAAAAGTTGACACTCTCCATTGGTCAGTACTCAGGTACCCGTCCCATCAGCTCGCTACGTGTGTATCCGATCGATTACCATCATGAGGCAGAGGCCCTCCGCGAGCGCCTCATCGGACGCGGGGCAAAAGCTGAGGGTCTCGCCGGTCCAAATTACCGGGCTTATCAAGGTGTGGCCTGGCGTCGAGGTGCTTTTGGATCCAAGGACAAGTATAACGTCAAAGGCCGCGTAAGTTTCATCTTTCATCAGCTACCCTGACGGCAGCGCCGGTACTACTGCGTGATTAGTATGCTAACATATGTCAGATCATCATCGACACTTATGGCTGGAACCGCTTCGATCCATCTCATTCGGTCTTTGTCACCCCTCTTAATCAGAAGGAGACGCCGCGTTCTCCTGTACGCGACTGGGATGACGGGGCGGATGAGGATGAGGAGGATGAAGTCGAGGACGATTACGAAGAAGACGACAGCGGGATGCCACTTGACGGTGCATTCACCGACGAAGATGACGCAGCCAAGCAGATTCCATTGACGACCGAGCAGAAGCTCATCTGTACGCCTTTGCTCCGCGGATACAGCTTGAAGAACAAGCTCTGGCTTAACTTCTTCGTCAACTGTGTCAAGGACATCGATTGGCAGAAAGATGCATTCGATCGACTGGTTCTACCCAAGAATCAGAAGGAGCTAATATTAGGCTTCACCGAGTCACAGCGCAAGTATCGTGAGTCTTTTGACGACGTTATTGAAGGCAAAGGTCGAGGCATGATCATCCTCCTTTGTGGGCCTCCTGGTGTCGGCAAGACGCTGACTGCCGAGTCTATGGCAGAGGAAATGAAGATTCCACTGTACAGTAAGTCAGCCTCACCACATACCCAGGCCAACGCGATCACCTTGAACCTCCATAATTGTCTTGGATGCTAATCAGTACCCCAGTGATGTCCGCAGGTGATCTCGGCTTTGACCCGTCCAACGTCGAAACGAAACTCGAAGATATCCTCGAAATGTGCAGTCGCTGGAACGCCATTCTCTTGCTTGACGAAGCCGACGTCTTCCTCGAGCAGCGTTCCCTCCACGAACTCGAGCGCAACAAACTTGTCTCCATCTTCCTGCGTGTCCTGGAGTACTATGAAGGCACAATGTTCCTCACCACGAACCGTGTGCAGACATTCGACCCGGCGTTCCAATCTCGCATCCACATCTCGCTCGATTACCAGGAACTCAGCATCGAGTCTCGAAAGACGGTTTGGTCCAACTTTTTGGATAATAGCGCGCAGGAACACACAATTACCGCGGCGCAGCTCAAAGAGTTGGCGCGCATGAACGTCAATGGCCGGCAGATCAAGAACATTCTGAAGATTGCCAGGCTTTTGGCCAGTCGCAAGAACGAGAGCTTGAGCTATGAGCATATTGTCACGACGTTGGATGTTACACAGCATCTGCATAACGAGACACAGGCTACAAAGCATACCCAGGGCAGCCTGTATGGCTAGCGAGCATTGACTCGTGCTGAGTGGTTGCATTGAGCCAGGCCACCCCATATATACATGCACACTTGCGATCCGAACGTCTCAAGGACACATAAGCAAGGCGCTTATTTTCGTTCATATCACGTGGCATACACACTGGCTTTGGACTTAGAATTTACCATGACTTTCAAATCTCAAAAGCTGCTATTGAAGGACAGGTTCACATCTCTCACACCCACACTGAAAGCTCCAATTCTTCTTCAAAGTTTCCATCCTCTTGTCCCGACTCAACTTCCTCTCCCCTCCACTCAAATACGTGATACACAGCTCCTCTCCGCATTTCACGTCTTTGCCCGATCTAAACTCCCACGCTCTTCCCACTCGTCTTTTCTCCACATTCGGCGCGCATGAGTGATTGAAATAACTTGCCGCTGGCCAGCATCCATAACCGAAGAACTCTGATCCGTCGTCTTCGAGACTTCGTATGCCGAAGGAGTTGTGGCTGTCGCGAGAGGACAGGGTGAATAATACTCCAGCAGTGGTAATTGGGAGTAATTCGGGTGGTAGGACGGATACGAGGTGCAGATACGTGCGCGTAAATGCAGCGAGGTCGTCGGTACTATGGTATGGCGTTTCATCATCTGCGAGTGCGAGCAGGGAGGGGTACTGCTCTGGACAGCGCTGATGCCACAACAAGCCCGAGAGGCAAAACGATAGGATGTCGGGGTTGAGTGGAGCGGCAAGAGCGCGTGAGAGTGCTTTGCGATGCTGTTTCGTCACGCCATCGCGTCCCCGCGCAATTCGAATGAGGGAGGCCTGCGCATCGGCTGCTTCCCAGGCTTCTTTGATCTCTTGAATTTTTGGGCGCGGGAGCTCGGCGTCGACCATTTCGCTGTCTTCTTTACTTCGGCCCTTGACCAATTGCTCCACTGCTGTCCATGCCTCCACGCCGATCGAGCCGTGCGAAGTGCGCCATTCATCTTGACATGGCTGGCTGCAGAACGCGAACCCCACGCCCTTGTCTCGGATCTCCAAGTCTCGCCCGTACTCATACCTGAAACATTGTCCACAGACTTCGCGCCGGTATTCCCGCAGGAGGACGTTCATTGTGATGTCTGTGGATCGCCATAGCAGTGTGGCTTCTGTTATGTCTCGCGCGGCAAAGACGGCGCGTCCTGCCGTAGGCGTCTGGCGGATCTCGAAGAGGTTGGAGCTTGGTGTGCTGACTGGGAGGTCGCTTGCCGATGGCGAGGTGGGTGGTGCTGAGGAAGAGGAGGAAGGGCGAGACGTGATGGTGGCGGTGCGAATCGATGGGCAAGCCGAGGAGGGGCCGTCCGAATCCATGGCGACGGTGGTGGATGTGTCCTTCTATTAGTTCTTGATGAAGTCTACAAGTCTAATCCGTTGCCACCAAAAGAACACAACTACGTCTCTATCAATCCACCGGTTTAGAACGAAGAATAATCGTGCACGGTTTCTGGTCATAAATCACTTATACATTTGCCGGTTGTGTATGATTTCAAAAAAGCCATGGTGTAAGTTTCCGGGTGTGTGATACAGTGACGGGTGAATGACAGTAGACGTAGGTAGGCAATGTGGGAAAGTTGAAAAGATTGGAATTTGTGCCTGGCGTGCTGTCATAGTCTGGCCAGACCCTGAAATGCGCAGGCATGGCTATTGCGGCGATAAGGATAAGCGACGGCGGAGGCTGAAGCTTGATCCCAGAGAGTTTGGGGGTGGAAGGGCCGACCTTGAAAACAATGCACGACATCTTTCTTACTCCAGGGCCACCAACTTCTTTGCTCCACGTAGATGTCTTACGGAGAGCAGGAGGAAACTGTGCATATCGACACTCGTCTCGTTGGCGGCCACATGGAATGCTACAATTAAACCTTGGTCGAACGTTCGAAGCAGAAGCCACAGTTCGAACAACAAGGCGGACAACAAGACTACTGTACTGTAGAAGCTCAATTCTGGGAAGGTCTTCGTCTCGCTGTCGCAACCTTAACAGCCTCACGACGCACGGACATCAGTGTCTGCCAAGCATTGGCTATTCGGGTCGATCGTTCTCCCGATTCTCTGCCCTGGACGGGCTTGACTTCGGTATCAGGTCATCAAAGGTCTGATTCATTGATGAAGGCAAGGAAGTTGACAAAGCTGGGGATATAGCCACCATCGCCAGGCCCCGCATCTGCCAAGTATCTGCTGCAACTTTTTTCAAGTCCGGCGCACTACCCTCCGCTTACAGCTTGCCGATGCATCGTCAATTTACCCCAACCCATTTTTCTTCAAAAGCCGGATTGGTAGCTTGACTAGATATGCACGACCTGAGGGGTAAATGACGTTGTAGCGAGGAACCAAACAAATTGGGCTGAATCAGTTGGAGATCATCGGTCTAGGGCAAAACTACAAAGAGCATGGACGCGCCTGAGGCTTCTATCATTTGGAAGACCATCATCTTCACCATCGTCACGGTCATCATGTCGGCTATTGTTCCCATCGACCTTACCGCATTTGCGACGGATGCGAGCTACTTGAACAGCTTCGTGCCCACCAATGTGTCGAATCCCACGGTCATCAATCTATTGGCGTATAACAATGACTTTTACAACGTCCTGGGCCACAATGCCACAGCACGTCAACTCTACAACCTCGACTGGCAAGCCTTCCACGAAGCCGGGATTTACAACAAGGAAACAAACAAACTATACATCACCAGCAACTGGGCGGGTTCGTTGGAAAACCCAATTAATGTGACAATCTTGGACCTCGACCCAGCAGCAAACTATTCTTACACCACAACTCGTTATTCCGCCCTCGCTGAACCAAATGGTGGCACTTCCTACTTCCCCCCGGGAACATCTTCCAACTCTTCCACGCCCCCACGACACTTGTACGCCGACGAAGGCGACTTCACTCAGCCCTCGGCTCTCGTGTCTGTCGACCCCGTGACCGGTGCCTCCCAGAAAATCCTGACAAACTATCTCGGCCGCAACTTCAGCAGCATAAACGACGTGCGCCAGCATGCTGAGACGGGCGACATTTGGTTCACGGACGCTGACTATGGATACCTCCAATTTTTCCGCCCAGTGCCTACAATCCCAAAGCAAGTGTATCGATTCACCCCGAGCACTGGTGAAATTAGTGTTGTTGCCGACGGCTTCGTCCAGAGCAATGGACTTGAATTCAGCCCGGATCATAAAATACTCTATGTGTCTGACACCGGCGCGGCTGGCGGCCCTCTTCTTGGCACGAACCTCACGCGCCCAGCGACCATCTATGCCTACGATGTCGTGGCGCAGAAATCACTCGCCAATCGACGTGTTTTTGCTTATGCCGATAATGGCTATCCGGATGGCATGCACGCCGACACCGAGGGCAATTTGTGGGCTGGTTGCGGCGATGGTGTTCATGTGTGGAACAGCAATGGCACTCTTCTGGGGAAAATATGGAACGGGGTCGAGACGAACAACTTCGCATTCTTGCCTGGCAAAGTATTGGTGTTTAGTAATGCACAATTGTGGGTTGTGGATAACCTCAAGGCGGTGGGGAGGGAGGTCTGTAAGGATTTTGGTGTTTGCTAGATCGCCATGTGAAAAGATCATGTATATGTCATGTGCATCCTTTTGTGGGTTGCGAAATGAGTAATTTGAGCTCAATGTGTCTCCAGATATTACCTCGACGAGTCCCACCCAAACCTTTCGTCGCTGATAGCTACATGGCTGCGAAGGAGTGGCCAGTCAAAGACATGCGAGAGCGGACATTCCTGTGGAGTAAGCAAGAGCTTAATCACTACTAAGATTATACAATGCTTCATCCATTCAAGAACGATCGACAGTCGTCTAATCCATCCAAGGTTTGCAAAGAAGAGTTAAAAGGGACTTGATGTTATTTGACACAAGCTAAGGGCAGTCTACATACCAGAGCGTAGACTCTACTCGATACTTGGATGGAGTCGGCGCGGTCGTAATCAAGTTAACCCTTGAGACTTACATGGATCGCTGACGACTATCATGATTCCCACCGCAAAGTATTTGGAACTGTAAAGAGCAAGAACGGCTTGGGAGAAGCATCTGAGTTCAGCGCCAGAGTCCAGTTTTCCCCACTCAGCGATCTTGTGAACGATATTACAGTGTCCGTGAATGTCTCGAAAGAGACAGTCTGATCACATATGTCATATCGTATTGACCTAAAGCACCGTCTCAAACGGACGCATGTGCTGAGGCACGACGTTTTCCCTGGATCCAGGACCGAAAAAAAATCGTTCAGAGCTATTGTGTCGTCTCCCAAATGCAGCGAATGAGGAAATCTTTGACCTTCTGTGGTCGCAAACGTAATTGCTATCTTTGCCCCGGAGACGCTCCAGATTTCTCTAAGAAGCTGGGTTAAGTCCAGGGTAGGTTCCCAACTCGGTACGCTGAATTTTAGCTCGATGTTTCGCACATTGATAACCTGCTGCCTGACACTCGCGAGCCAGACTGCGGCTTGTGATGTGATGTCCATGTGGCCATCATCGTATCTGCCGCAGTACAACTGAGCCCTGTCAAAAACGAATACATTGCCAGAATATAGGATGGGACTCGCTTCTCCCTGTATCTGACGACAGCTCAATAGTAAGTAGAGTCCTGGAACTGTCAACCGTGATGTGTCCGGCTTCTCATCGCTCATGATCATTATTGGTTGATCGTAGAGAAACAGCAGCTCGTAAATGTGACAACGGATCTCAGTGGGACACTTGAGGATTCCTGCGCCACTCATGGCGGTTGTGAAATTAACGAGATGTAGCAATAGCCTCTATGTTTTTACTGGAAGCTTGAGGTTGAGAAATGACTGGAGCTTTGGGGGACCGCCGTCATCCTCTAGAGGTACGCAGTATTCGCCTCAGCAGGAGATTACTTCGCCGCGAAGCAAATGTCAGACACTTTCTCACAGTGTGCTTGGACTCTGATAGCACAGTGGCAGTACTAGGGATCGTGCACAGGAGTACATAAACTTGATCTTGCGTGCCCAATCCATGCTGTGACTACCCGCAACGTGCTCAAGAGGAATGGTTGTAGCACCAACAACCAGAATGTTACACACGTGTAGGGCGACCATGTTCGCGTTCAACGCGTTCAGCGTGTACGATGAAGGATCAATCAACGATTTCGGTGATCTGTTCAAGTCAGCCTGTGCATAATGGCGAAGACTTATTCATAGTTTGCGGGGTTCAGGGTGCTGAGAAATATGGATGTCGGCAGCATCTGACAGTTCTCTTGCAAACGCAAATACCAGCATGACGAAAACGAGCACCTACCTTGCTTGGCGCGTCGGAATGCGGCACGTCGGTGCTGGCGTCCGGTGGCAGATAACGCGGACACAACGACAGCGGTGTCTCTCCACTATTCTCCAATTCCATCTTGAGCCTCAAAGCCTTTGCAAACACGCTAGCCTGCATGATTCCAAACTCATGCTCAATGCGATCAAGGCAATGCAGCACGAACTTCTGGCTTGGAGCCGAAGCCGTGGGCATGGAGCCTGCGACATATAGAGCCCACACTGTTGAGTAACCTCCGGAGACACGCACAATTGGAAGGCGATCCATGCAGTCGTTCAAGTTTCCTGTCTTGGACAAGTCGACAGTTTCGCTGCGAAAGTTCTGGAAGAAGCGCCTACTCTCGGCCCCTGGACTGTGCATCGGGTCCGACATAGTGGGCGGTGTCACATATGTTGGTGTTGAACCGCATGGTGGGGTCATTGGCGTATCGTGCAAGAATTGAGGCATGCTAGCGATGATGTCTGCCTGGAGCTGTTCCAGTATTTGTGTACTGTTGGTTAATAGTTGGGCGTATTTTACTCCAGTGAGTATTGGCGGAGAGGTGGCGAAGCCTGCCAGGATACAATTACGGATAATGTCATGAAGGTAGATGCGGTTGTATCGCACCCAGTTCCATGTTTGCGCAGTCGCATGTGTGGGATAGATGTGGTAATGACTGCCAAACACTCCGGGCACTTGATCAAAGCAGGGCACAGTATGGTAGTCCCAGTCTCGGCTCACACGATCAAAGATGGACTTTGCGGAGGCATCCAGCTCGAGGGCTCGGTTGATGATGTCGGGCACCTGGCTGGCCGTCTGCTTCAAGACGTAGGCGCGAAGATCAGTCGTCTTTTGGTGCAGAAAGAAGAAGGCGGTCCGAGGATCGCCATGGTCCAAGTGGGCTTCTACTTCGCGGTTGATGTCTTTGACATAATCGGGCATGGTTTCCCCTTTGCCCATGCAGTTGATTGTGACGAGTCCAACGGTGTGCAGGTACATGCGCCGTCCAGCAACTGTTTTTAATTGATCTCGACCGCGCAGCTTCACAAGCAGAGCTGATCCGTCGACGTGATTACTCCAGCCGACCAGCGAGTCATTGTTGAAAGTTGCTTCGAACATGGTCAGAAGATTGACTGCCACTAGGGTCGTGTCCTTTTTTACGTCTGTCGGCGAAGATATGGCAGCATTTGCCATTTTGATCGCTCTAAGGTACCATTGGGTGGCCTCCCTCTTGAGGGCTGAGTCCATGTAGAGGTTCGCAACTCCAGCTATACCCAAGGCGGTCATGGTCGTGGCGACGAGGGGGTGGAAGCCATCTGTGGAGAGATGGTGGCTGTAGGCACGTGAAGCAATGGAAGGTTGATCCAGTCCAATAGCGTAGTGTGTCATGAAGAAGGTGATGCCCTGATCAACAAGCGGAGCGAGCATGTATCCTGGGGGCACATTGTCCTGCACCCACGCAAGAGTAGTGTTTGGCGAGGCGATGTCTTTCTTGGCGATTGCTGACACTGCATGAGAAGGCGGTCGTCGCTGAGATGGCTTTGATTTGGCGAGCACCTTGGCCGTCTCGTCGTGGAACCATGCATCGATGTTGCGATCGTAGCCCGGACACGGCAGTCGCTGCTCTGCGCACCGCAGACAGCCGTCGGGCCGTTCATCGCACTTGACTTTGCGCTGGCGGCACTTCTTGCACCCGGTCGAAGGCCGTCCCCGATAGACCATGGTGTGATGGCCAAGGGGGGTGAGGCCAGATGCAGCTGGCAGCGTACTGAGAGGTACTGAGAGGTACTGAGAGGTCTGCGAGGGTGGCTGTGCTACTGACTAAGTTGGAGGTTACCAGCTGGCTCCCTCTGGCCCGTGCTGATGACTGCATGACAGGCCATGATGAGTATCACAGTCTGTCGGTCCGGTGCAGACCGAGTCGTATCATACAAGCCGACATGTTCATTGCTCTCCAGACATGACCATGGACCCGCTGCTTGCAACGGCCGACGCCGCCGTACAAGTTGAGCCTGCCTCGTTAGCAGCGCCTCGTAGCACCCCGCCGCCTGTGGTACCGGGCCGCCTCTGGGCCATCAGCGACACGCACCTCTCCTTCAAAGCGAACCGCGAGGCTCTGGAGAAGCTTCTGCCACATCCCAACGATGATCTCATTCTCTGTGGAGACGTGGGCGAGTCGCTCGAGCACTGCCGCATTGCGTTTGCCAAGGCAAAGGAGTGCTTCCGACGAGTGTGGTGGGTGCCTGGGAACCACGAGCTGTACACGATGCCCGCGCAAAAGGAGGCGGGCGCCAGGGGAGAGGCCAAATACCTGGAGTGTGTCCAAGTTGCCAGGCAGTATGGTGTCCTGACGCCCGAGGACGCCTTTGTGCTGTGGGAGGGCGAAGGCGGGCCTGTCCTCATAGCGCCCATTTTCACCCTCTACGACTATAGCTTCCGCCCGGACCATGTCAAGCTGGAGGACGCGCTCGCGTGGGCACGTGAGAAGGACATTGAGGCAACCGACGAGCATCTGCTGCACCCCGACCCGTACAGGTCAGCGCATCGAATGGTGCCACGCGCTCGTCGCAAAG